CGAGAGAAGGAAAATGGGAGGCCATTAGGAGAACAACACTCTGGTCAGGAAAGGGATCTAGTGGACAATGTGGAGAGGCAAACAGAGATTGCTGAAGTCATAACACAACATTAATCTCGCGACCGCCGCCAAACAAGTCCCACACGTTCGGTTAAAAAGGTTTGAAAGTTGTTGTTTACCGATGATGATAATACGGCTATGGATACTGATATAAATGTAATGGATACTACTATGTCATGTGCAGAAAATGACATGAACATATCTCTTGATAATATGCAGAATAAGGATCCGAAACAAGTTCAGGGTGTAACAAGTAGAGAGGGAGTAGAAAATATTCTCTCGGTAGGTGAGGATGTGGTCACGGAGGAAACAAACTCGGGTGACAACCAACTCACCACCAAGGAATCCGGGTATACCACTTGTGCGGAGGGGGAGATGATTTTTCTGGTCACTGAAGGTGACGGCAATACTAACTCAAGTGATCTTAGTGAAAAAGCTCTAATGGAAGAACTAGAGGAAAATGCTGTATCCGAGGTAGAATCCAACGACTAAAGGTCATAAGGGATAAAGGGAAGGAGCACAACATATGTTTTCAGCAGAGGAGACCACCTCGGTTACATGTGGGGGGACACAGAGCAAATGCTAAGAAAAGACTTGTTCAAGCTCTGATTTTGCCAAGGAAGAATGGACTCACGAAGATAATAGGACGTGAAACGGATTTTACAATAGAGAAAGGGACGAGGGCAATTTCAGTTTCATTTCAGATGTGATAAATTGTACACGGTTGAACCGTGCGGTTCAAATGGCGGATTAGCCTTATATTATAATAATGAATTTGATGTTAATGTTTTATTTGCTAATAAATGGATGATTGATATTGAGGTAATGCACGACGGAAATACTATTTGTTTATTTTTTTGTCTACGGTAATCCAGTTACAAAGTTTCAAAATCAAGTATGGGAACGCCTTACAAGAATAGGGGTAAACAGATCAGAACCATGGTTTCTAATTGAGGATTTTAATGAGATAACGGAAAACCATGAGAAACATGGAGGAAATTTACGACAACCATCTACATTTGTTGATTTTAATGTAATGATAAATAACTGCGGATTATTGGATTTTCAAAATACGGGAAATAAGTTGTCTTGGCGTGGTCGACGAAGTGGTCAAACGGTGCGGTGCAAACTAGACAGAGCTTTGGCAACGGAGGATTGGCATGATTTATTTCCACACTCACATGTAGAATATCTCCGTCTAGTAGGCTCGGATCACAGACCAATTGTGGCCACAATACAAGCGAGACCATATAAACGCAGACATCAATTTAGGTTTGATAAACGGTGGATCGGGGCAGAGGGACTAATGGAATCAATTCAAGGGGGATGGCAACGGGTAAATGGGCAAGGGGGCCAAACGATAGTGGATAGAATTATTAATTGTCGTCATGAAATATCTAAATGGGGGCAAGGAAACAAATCATACAGGAAGGACAAGATAGAAGACCTTCAAAGGACATTAGAAGAGTGTCAAAATGATGATTCTCGTACACAGGAGGAGTTGTTAGAGATAACACAAAAACTCAGAGAAGTATATAAGGATGAGGAGGATTATTGGCAACAGAAGAGCCAGAATTTTTAGAACAGAAGTGGAGATCTTAACACAAAATTCTACTATGGAGTGACGAGACAGCAGCAAACCATAAACAAGCTAGTGGAATTATAAAATAATGACAGTGTCTGGGTGGCTAGTGAGAAAAATATAGAAAAGGTGGCGGTAGAATACTTTAATGAATTATTCACATCCACCTCTCCAATATCCTTTAATGACGCTTTAAATGAGATTAAGCCGGCGGTGACCAAGACAGATAATGAGAGATTAACAAAACCGGTTACAGAAGAAGAGGTTAAAACGGCTTTATTTATGATGCATCCAGAAAAAGCACCGGGTCCAGACGGAATGACCGCGTTATTCTACCAGCAATCGTGGGGCATAATAAAAAATGATGTGGTTCAGATGGTAAATGATTTTCTACTCACAGGAAAGTTTGACCAGAGACTAAATATGACACATATTTGTCTCATCCCAAAAACAGAGCGGCCAACAAAAATGCCGGAGTTGTGGCCGATAAACCTGTGTAATATCGGTTACAAAATAATTTTGAAGGTCCTTTGCCAACGATTGCGACGTCTTCTACCTAAATTAGTCTCTGAAACTCAGTCAGTTTTCATTGCTGGGCGTCTTATCTCGGATAATATTATGATTGCACAGGAGATGTTCCATGGCCTACGCACCAATAAATCATGCAAAAGCAAATACATGGCAGTAAAGACGGATATGAGTAAAGGGTATGATCGGGTTGAATGGATATTCATAGAGAATCTACTTAGGAAACTAGGATTTGCGGAAAGTTGGATTACATGGATGATGTGGAGTATACAATCAGTACAATATAAAGTGCTTATAAATGGGCAGGCCAGGGGACAAATAATAGCCGAACGGGGACTGAGGCAAAGGGACCCTCTATCCCCATATCTCTTTATCCTCGACATGGAGGTATTAACAGCAAATCTGAAAAAAAGCAGAGAGAATGAAACTACTTACCGGAATGAAGGTGGCTTGTGGATGTCCAACGATCTCACACTTATTTTTTGCGGATGATAGTCCATTTTTTTGCAAGACAGTAAGAGAAGAGACAGAAGTCCTACTTCAATTGTTAAAGCAGTATGAATCAATGTCGGGTCAATAGATTAATTTTTCGAAGTCGTCAGTATAATTTGGTCATACGGTGAACCCAGCTATCAGGGAAGAGATTCATCAGAGTTTGAGAATCATGGATATCAGGGGGGGGGGGGGAGCAAAGATAAAGGTGGAGCGCCAACAGAAACGGGTTAATGGATGGACGTCAAGGTTGCTATCCAAAGGAAGGAAGGAAGGAGGTATTGATAAAATTAGTGGCTTCAGCGATACCGACATATACAATGTCATGTTTTCGTCTACCAAAGGCAATCACAGAAAAATTAACGAGCACGGTTGCAAAGTTTTGGTGAAGCACAAGTGGTCAATCTCGAGGAATGCATTGGTTGTCATGGAAAAAATTGTGCAAACATAAATCAGAGGGTGGGCTGGGCTTCCGAATAATAGAGGATTTCAATACTGCACTTCTGGCTAAACAACAGTGGCACCTTATAGAGTACCCAGATTATTTGTTTGCAAGGGTTTTTAAAGGACGATACTATCAGAATAGAGGCCTTATGGACCCATTTCGCTCATACTCAGCGTCCTATGGATGGCGAAGTATTATTTCAGCTAGATCTCTGGTAAACAGACTTATCAAAATATTCGGATCAGGAGATTCTATACTTGTATGGAAAGATCCATGGTTACCGGCTACTCGCCCGAGATCAGCAACAAGTCGGGGATATAATTTATACCCGAGTTAAAAGTCAAAAATCTAATTGATTCTTCTACAAAAAAGTGGAATCTGGCGCTCATAGAACAATTGATAATTCTAGAGGATATTCTATATATCACTGGACTTCCAACTACTAGAGAATTGAGGCCAGACATGCATATGGCACTTTACAAAAAGCGGGAAATTCACGGTGAAGTCAGGATATGCCACAGAACTAGAATACCCAACCATCGATACTATTTTGCCTTTATTTGGTCCTGATGTAAAGCATTTACAGAGTCATGCGTGGAAGATCAAATGTCCACCTAAATTGAAACACTTTATTTGGCAAGTCATCTCAGGATGTCTTTCGGTCATGGATAGACTACACAGCAGAGAGATTAAGTGTGATGCACAGTGCGGACGTTGTGGTGCGGATAGAGAAACAATAAATCACATGTTATTTAAATCCCCCCCCCCCCCCAGCTTCTCAGGTATGAGCATTATCAGTGGTTCCTACGCCACTTATGATTTTTCCAACGTCAGCACTATACACGAATATGGCACATCTTTTTTGGCAGCTGCCAAATACGGAGAAAATGGACGTATTCCCATGGATTCTCTGGTACATTTGGAAAGCTAGAAATGACAAAATATATTCAAACATTGATAGGGATCCCAAGGACGTTTTATGGATTGCACAAGTATAGGCATCATCGTGGGCTGCAGCACAAGTTGAACTTTCACAGGTTGAAAATCAAAATACACAACGCCAAGAGGTAGTAGGACATGACGGTTTAATATGTCACACGGATGGTGCTTGGAAGTCAACAGCAGTGAATGCAGGTTTAGGATGGTACTGTTAAGGCAGTGGATCGGACATCACGTTAATGGGGGAAAAAATGTTAGACGAAGCATTTCTCCATTACACACAGAATTGGAAGTTTTGATCTGGGCGGTGCACTGCATGCTCGACGCAAGAAGATTAGCGATGGTTTCGTTACAAATAGTTCCGAATTGGTGAATATGTTGTCCACATCAGAGGAATGGCCGGCTTTCGCTTTACACTAGGAGGAATACATGACGAGCAGAAAAGAATTTAATTCTTTTTCCATCTCACACACCCTATGCGCTCACAGCACGAAGGCAGACAAATTAGCACGGAATGCTCGTGACTACCTTTATAGTTTAAATTATGTAAACTCAACTCCACCGGTTTCGTTATCTGAACCGTTCTAAGAGTTAGAGGCTGAGTTTAATTTTCCCCTGTTATAATAACCTAGTTATTATAAAGGATAGTACTAGTAGGATACTTTCAAACACTTTTTATAGTTGTCGATTTTTTGTATTGCTAAAATATATTTATGTTATTTCTTTTTATCTTTATTTTTTAATTAATTTGTCATTATGTTTAAATTTGAACTATACCAACGGTTTTAAGAAAATAAAGCACTACACAATTTTAAACGCAAAAAAGAAACAATTCTAATATGTTTAATAGATAAATGCAAATCAATAACAAATCTTAAACTATAAACAATAAAAAAATATGAACAAATATTTATATTCGATCCTATCGTTCAGCCTATATATCTCATTATAAACATCTAAGCTCCAAACAAACCTAACAGAGAAAGAAAAAAAAAAAGATGAAGAAATCGTGCATTCTATGGATTGCGCTAATTTTCGTATCTTTATGCCATGCATCCGATGACTTTGTATCGCCGTCACATCCGCCGGTCTCATCTCCATCAATGGCACCATCAAACTCCGACTGTTCCACCGTTATTTACAGCATGATGGATTGTCTTTCATTCTTGACCGTTGGATCAACAGATCTTAGTCCGACCAAAACATGTTGTAATGGGGTGGAAACTGTTCTAGAATATAACTCTAGTTGTCTTTGCATTGGTTTAGAGAGCAGTCGTGAAATGGGATTTGAATTAATTAATAGCAGAACTCTTGCTATGCCTTCTATTTGCAACATCCCCATTGATCCTCATTGTGGTATATTCATTTTTCCTTTACTCTCATTATTATTTATTCTCTTATTAATGTGAATTCTAATGTATTATTCTTGTTTCTGTTAAATTTTTTTTTTCCAGATATTGCATCAAATCCTGTTACGTCAACACCAACTACATCTATAGGTAAAGTTCAAGTTCATCATATGAATAAAAGTTTGTTTTTTTTATGTGTTTAACCTCAATATTTTAAAAGAATCATAATAGATCTATTTTTTTTGTCTTCTGTTTAATTTAATTAAGTACTGTTGAAATTTATTATATTTTTAAAATTGTATCACACAGTTTATCCTTCGTCAAAGCAACCTACAGCTTCACCATCTGCCACTTCATCGCCGCCAACGATTATCGTTTCGTCACCGACCGTTGCACCTTCAGTACCGACATTTAGTCATCCATCACCGGCTAACACCGCTTCAACACCGATTACAACTCACTCGTCTTTAGCTATTACTGCTCCGTCACCAGCAATGACTGCTCTGTCACCATCACCATCTACATCTAGTACCATAAACATGTTGGTATCCAAACAATTTTTAGCCGGCGTGATAATATCTTCTTTTGCGCACATCTTAGCTTAGCTTCCTTTTAATACGAAATCTTAGCTTAGCTTCTTTTTCTGGAGAAATAATTTATTTTATCGTTGTATCGATTTGAGCTTTGAAGACCGAATAACGATTTAGATTGTTGTTTTTATTTGCTTCATCTAATTCCTTGTTCTACAAGAAAGTGATCGCTTTTTCTCGTTTATTTGGGCCTAACCAATAAGTTTGAATTTATATTCATAAAATCCAACTTCCACTCGTAAGCCCACTGCTAAAACATTAAACTGTATCAACACAAATGTTGGAAACTGATAAACTCGAACTCATAGATTTCCAGGTTTTAAAACTAACGAATATTAGTCATATTCTTTAACTAATTGGCTAATCCTCTATATATTAAAAAAAAGCATTTTGTAAAAATAATCTTATTTTTGTAAGTATTTACAGTAGTGTCATTATGCTGATGTGTCAATCTCACATTTATTTTCAGCTAATTTTTTAAAAAAAGATTTAGATTACTAGACTAATTACATGATATACTATTGTTTTTAGGTCCATAAATATATCATGTTTTATTTTTTTAAATGAATTCAAATACAATAATATTAGAATTAAAAATTTAATAAAATAATATTTGTTGAATGCTAATTATAATATACACAAAATTTATTATATAATATTTTAAAAATATTATCCATATATATTTTATTATAAATTTATAATAAAATATATAGTATTTTTTAATGTTTACTATTTTTATCATTCATAGCAAAATATAAAATAAAGTAATGTTTACTACTTTTAAGAAATATATGTTTATTGATTATTCATAAAAAATATTCTTATAAAAACAACTGAAAAATTAAAAATAATATTTTATTTTCGTCAAATTCATAACAAAATATATAACACTTTACTAATGTTTACTACTTTTATTAGAAAATATATTTATTAATTGTTTATTAAAAATATTCTTCTAAATACAACAGAATAATTAAAAATAATATTTTATTTTTCCCAAAAATTAATCAGGACACAAATAAAAGAAAGGCATAATAATTTTATTCACATATTGTTTTAATTATAGCATGCATGAAATAATTGTGAAAACATATATAATACTTCAAGCTAAATATTTTTAAGTTTATATCTTTTAACAATTAATAATAATATATACAAAAATATATTATTTAAAATATATGTTGTTTTCGTCACAAGCATCAATTAAAAGAAAAAGTCATAATGACGAATTTCTAAAATTATTATGATAGATATTATTAATATTCAGATTTACTATATAAGAAAATATGATATATTATATTATGGTTTAAAATATATATGACTCTTAGATGACAAATATGGTATATAGCATTATTGGTTACATGTAAGATATCAATATTATTTGTTTATTTTTTTAATTAATGTTTGATTTATCATATGCAATATCAAATTTTCAGCAAGATTTGTTTGTCGGCTTTAAATGAATCAATTTAAGTACTGTAATTTTTTTTATAAATTGATAATATTGTGATTTCAGTATTTTATTAATTTATAGAATTATAAATTTATCAGTTTGGAATTAAATAAATTATTTATTAATAATTAATTAAAAATTAAAAGTTAATGATATCTTTAAATATTTCACTTTTAAATTATAGATAAACCATAACATTATTTCAATTTTAAGAAAAATAAACTATTATATATTTATATTTTAGTAAATTATCATATTTATATACTTATATAAATTTATTTTATGGTAATTATTAATTTATGATATTAATGGAACCATATATTTATATAGATTTTTCTAAAAAAATAATCTTATCGATTTGTATCATATTTTGAACAAGTCCAATTTGGAACTATGAAAATTTATTAATCTATTTAAGTAATAATATTTACTAGATAAGTAAAAAACTATTTAACTAATAATATTTAATTACTTAAAAGTCAAAACTAATTAAATATGTACATAAATATTGTATACCCAAATCTTAGACATTGGTGAAAATAATGAATCATATCATCAATTACGAGATGGAGAAAATTTGTATGGTAACTTCGTATTTTTACCCAGCTATATCATGTGTTATGCATGCTACTTAATTTTTAAATTAATTTAAATTAATTTATATTAGAATTAAATTATCTTATATTTCATAAAAAAATAAAAAAAAATCATATTGTCAATGTTATAGTATAATATTATATAAGATTTATATAAATTTAATTATATTATATTATATAATTTTTAAATTATATTAAATATAAATAAATAATAATTATTTTACCCTGGGTGCGGGTTATTACCTAGTTGCAAGTGTTAAATTTGCATAATAACACTTAGGATTTTCTTTTTTTTTTGTTAAAGGATTAACACTTGCAATTTTTAACTCTTTTTTTTTGTTAAATCCTAAATCATATCACTGATTTTTTGTTGTTGTTAAGAATCATCTCGCTGGTTTTATGGCTACGCATAATCTTATATATTTGTTAAAAATATTTGGAAGATCTATCATCCAACAACTTATTTATGTCCTCATATATTGGTTTTAGTTATCAATCCTAACTATAAAATCTTGATTCCATTATTTGATTATTATTGATTGGTTTTAAACAAGCAGATAAGATGAAGAAGGAAAAAAAATATACATTTTTGTCGTGAAAAAAAAAAAACAAATGATTGTTCTTATCATTTTTTCGTTAATTACAACAAAAGTCAATTACTCTGACCCGAAAAAGTACAAAAGGATCCCTGAGAAATAACCCGTCGTAACAGTTGTTAACTTCTTCTTACTAATATTCGAATAATTATGAATGCATAAGTATATTTTATGTTGCAAACATTAGTGGATCATTTCAAACGTAGGCAAAAAAATATTAAGGAAAGAGTGAGAAGATATGATACAAATCATACAACCCATACCTAACTCCCAACTATATCTCAACCCCCATTATTCATAAGCCCATTACTATGTTATCGTTGTCAACGACGCAACGAGTCAACTAATCATCTTAAAATTTAATAATCAGACAAAATTAAGAACTAGATTGTTTCTATTTTATTTCCCGGCGATTGGAACATTTATTCTTACGTAAAAGAAGAAAATTTAATATTTTATCGTTGGAATCATCACCTCAATATAAGACCATCGAGGCAGGGAGTTGTAATGATGTACAGGGCCGGACACAGAAATTTATTTAGAATGGACACAAATTTTTTTATTTTAATATTAATAAAAAATTAATGATTAAATAAAAAATAAATAATTTTTTTTATATAAAACTATCCTACGATCTTTCATAGTTTAGAATCTTTTTATCACTATTTCGTTTGTCACACTGTTAAATAGTTCTTTCTTAATAAGGCAAACTAGACAATTATTTAAAAACTGGTCGCTCATTCGATTGCGTAATGTAGTTTTCACAATCTTCATTCCATAAAAACATCTCTCCACGGTGGCAGTGGCTACAGGTAAAGTCAGCGCAAGTTTCAAAAGTCGATAAACAAGATGATGTGAAAGATGTTTCTTTGTCACGACCATCACACGTGCAAGATCTCCAAGATTATCCAATTTAGTAAATCTTTCATCATCTCGAATATTATCGATGTAAATACCAAGTTGATGCTCAAGAGAAATCCGTTCCATAGGACTAAAATCTTCTGGATAAAACTCAGACAACTTCAGAAGTTTCAAGGGATCAAACTCGCAGAATGAATCAATAGGACTCAAAGACACAATACATCCAAGCAATTCAGTGTTTACCTCATCAAAACGATCATTAAACTCTTGAATTTGCATATCCAATAATGTGTAAAAGCATTCCACCTGATAATGATGCAAGTTCGTCATGTTGCTTTTTTTTCTTGGTTTCTTTGGATCGACAAACTCTTCTTCCATAATGAGCAGCTCAGTTTTATGATTCTCACAAAAAGATGTTACCTTATCAATGAGAGAATCCCATCCACTGTCCATGAGCTTGCACAGCTGCTGCTTGGTGGATCTCACTAGAGACATAGCATTCAAAATGTCTTGATTTTTCTTTTGCAGAGCCTTTGATAGATTATTTGTGAGCCCAAGAATAAGCAACATCAACTATAAGTAGAACACAAAGTTAAATGTGTGAAAGTATTTGAGAAGACCATTAGCTTGGCGTCTTTTGATACCATCAGTCCCATCGATTTCAACACACTCAAGCACTTTAATGATCGAAGAAAATAAACTAACCAACCGCAGTAAGGTTTTGTAGTGGGAACCCCAACGAGTATTACCAGGTCTTTGCAATGAAAGCTCCTGATTCAATCCTTTTCCCGTCTTAATTTCACCTTTACTAATTCCTTCTTCGATTTTGCTCCGATGGTCTTCTCGAATTATATATTTTCTCTTACAAGAAGCTCCAACCACGTTTAACAAGACATAAATCATGTCAAAGAAATCCCCAACTTCAAAATGCTTTTTTGCAACTGCCACGACAACCAACTGAAGCTGATGAGCAAAGCAATGGACATAATATGCAGAACTATTTTCTCTCAAAATCAAAGATCTCAACCCATTAAATTCACCCTTCATGTTACTTGCTCCATCATAGCCTTGTCCTCTTAACTTTTTCATACTTAATCCATGTTTAGAAAACAATGAATCAACATCACATTTTAAATTGGAAGAAGATGTTTCCAGAACATGAATAAGACCAAGGAATCTCTCTTTGACTATCCCATTTTTATCAACAAAACGAAAAACCACTGCCATTTGCTCTTTATCAGACACATCTGCAGATTCATCGACCAACAAGCAAAACACATCATGATTTACTTCTTGAACAATAGATCCAATAACTTCTTCTGCAAAGCAATGCACTATGTCTGTCTGGATTTTGTGAGACACCATCTGATTATTTTTTGGAGCATTCTCCAACACAACCTTGCTTACATTCTCATTTTGCTCTGCAGTGTATTTCACAAGCTCTACAAAGTTTCCCCTATTAGCTGATCCGACACTTTCATCATGACCTCGAAAAGGTAATCCTTGTCGCAGCAAGTATCTACAACAATCAATTGAAGCATTCAATCTGATCATATAATCATTCTTGATCGCGTCATCTTGCTTATAGAAAGCATGAACAATTGATTGACCTGGTGTCATCAGATTATCAGCCATTTTCAATGCATTATTATGAAAA